CCTTCTCTTTGCTCTTGTGTTTGCTCTGTTCTGAATCCAATGAACATGACGTGCTTTGCATTTCGCAAAATGAAACATTTTATCGGGCTAGCTGAAGGTAAATGGTGTTCATCAAGGCACCAACAAAAGCAGCTTTTAAAATGAAAAATAAAAATCACCTATAAGACAATCTTCTGATTCACTACCTGCTACATTAAAAAATTGCGACCTTCTCCTGGGCAGAGTTTTGTTGGGCAATTTCTTCCTTTGTCTCTTTCCTTCTCCTCCAGCTCTTCTTTCTATTGATGAGCGTTCCCTCAGGGTCGAGCTCGAATCAATATTGTAAAAGATAGTTATCAATAATTCACAGATACTGACTGCTCACTTTACATGAAGCGATGCCTGCCCTCATCTTTCTCTCCTTCTCTTCGCCTCACTTATCTCCAGCTCTGTTCTATCTCTCACTCTTTCCCATTATATTTCTCTGTTCTGCTTTCTTTTTATTCTACCACAATGTCTTGCTGTAGCTCCAACTTCTTTTTTTCTTTATGCCTGAGTCTCAACACTTGTTTTCCCCACCTGTATGTTTTTTCTTTGTGCCTCCCTCCTCATCTCTATCCATCTCCTTCTGTGACGGCTTCTCCGCCTATACACATGGTTACGGCCTTCCTTTGCTATCATCTTCAATTTTTATATATAACTCGTATACACATATTAGGGAAGTTAGTCCATTCACTTTCACAATGTAAGCCATGTGCGGTGTCGTTGGTTTCACAAAGACTGTTTGTATCCTGATTAGCATAAATCACAGATGCATATTCTATCAGCTACCTTGGGTCAGTGACTAAATCAATCATTATAGAGTATAGCGCCAATTCAAAACAAGTGTTATCTCGAGACGCTTTACAAGAGAGCATGTGGGATAATATGCAGGCAGGATTTCTCCTTTGTATTCCTCTCATTCCTGTTGTCCACAGACGCTGAGGTGGAGGTCGGAGCAGGATGTGCATAAATGAGGATGGCGGTGGTTGTGGGGACAACACAGTCTGATGGTGGAGGTTGGGTGTCAGAGACCTCGGGTGGTAGTCGTGCCAGATCACCTTGCTGAAGGTTGGGGGAGCTCTGTTTTCTCGAGAGCCTGGCTTCTGCTGCCGATGTAGGTACCAGATTTGCTCGGGTGTTCAGATCGACTCGGGTCCTGCGCCTGCTAGTGACGTCATACAATATGAAGTTTTATTCGCGATATCGGGGCATAGTACTACACTTCCCACTATCATAGAGTGTTTCTGTTTGGTTAAGCCTGCTGTTACCATGGCAATGTTTCCCGCCCCTCTGCGCCGTATGCGAACAGATAAGACCCGCTAGCAGGCTAGCTAGTTAGTTAGCAAACAGGAAATGTACTAATAACCTTGTCATGCAGCAGTGAATGTAGTTTATATTTTCCACACAAACTACAAGATAGTACAACACTCGTATTAACGGTATAAAAACTATAACAACAACCAAAGTTACTCTTAAGAAGACACGATGTAATTCGCAATGGATTGTGGGATGTGTAGTTCCTTGGCTTCTGATGAAAATCATGTACTCAATCTTGTACCTTTGTCTTTTTTCCGTTTTTTAATGTCGTTTTGGTGCCGAATGAAATCTCCTATCGTCAGTGGGCGGTCACTGTTGTGCTCAAAGACCCGACAAAACCGTGAAAACTATAAACTCTCCGATCATATTGTGTGACTTCACTAGCAGGTGCAGGACCCCGAGTCGATCTGAACACCCGAGCACATCTGGTACCTACAGCGAGACAAGGACTCCTGGGCTTCTGGCATGGAAAGGGGGGGAAGGGTCCATGTTTCTTCATGCGACTGAGTCATTAGTCATGTGAACAATGTCTTTAACTTTTTGCTTGGTTTGCCTACCCTTTGTCCTAAATGTCTAGAAAATGTGAAACACAGTCTATCACAGCATTGGTTAAGCTGTGGTACCAGTGATGCTGTTTCAGTTTGTTTCTGACCTTGGCTTTGTCGCTTTGGTCTGTTTGTCTTGAAAACAATATCAGCAGTTACTCACTTATGGATGTAGGCTAATATCATTGTGCTTTTCTATGGTGTGTTTTTGACTGTGTTTAATTTACATTTGTGTCTTATTACGACTTATTTATGTAGTATACGTAACCTGTTTATATTTCATGCTGACTCAGCACTCTGTTCTGTCTGTAATGGAAGCTGCTAAGAGCATTAGTTAATGATCACTGTCGTTTCTCCAAGGCTGCTTTATTCATTTAACCTCATTAGCTTTTTAAATGTCTTTTGTCTTTTTCTGTCCTTTTAATGCCTTGCTGCGAAACCAGAAGCCCTTCAGGGACAAATAAAGTTGAAGTTGAAAGTTGGAGTCCTAACTGCTCTGAAAAATGTGTTTGCATAGAGAACACAAATAAATTGGCAGGGAGAAAAAGATGCATAAAGGCATGAGGTGCCTGGAAAATATTTGGGGTGGGCAAGGTCAACGTAGAAAACCTATTCTTTAGGAGGTTAAGATTTCACTTATTGATATCTGTCAACAGCAGTGTACTAGTTATCACCTCAGAGGAAACATCAGACACTCTGTCTAAACACTCTCTCCTCCATAAGCTGATGAGGTATATTACATAACCATCCAGATTTTAAATAAATGGTAAATAGACTTAATCTTATACAGTATAGCATTTTTTCTAGTCTTCTGACTACTCAAAGCGCTTTTACACCACAGGTCACACCTACACATTCACACACTGAGGCTGCTATGCAAAGTAACCATCAGAATGAAGTCATCTCACACATTTATCAAATCTCTATTTAATATCTTAAAAGCTAAAAGGTGAGTGAATACTGAATTTCTACTCATCAAGTGGCAAAAAATAAGTAATATCAGTTACAATGAATGCTAATGCTAACGCCCAGAGAGTTAGTTTGCTAACATAGGATGGGTTCATGATGATATGAACTTGTTGTGCTTTGAGCAGAAATAATAATAATAATAATAATACAAATCTGAATCTTTATTGAGGTGTGAGCATTAAAACAGTGGCTATAACAGAATTACAAATATTACCTCACTTCTTCACATATCCAGATTTCAACACATAAGCTTTGTCCAAATATGCGCTCCTAAAAAATTCCAGATATTTCAGGCAGGCGGCCCATGAAGCCTTCCTAATATGCCTGTTCACACATGCACCCCTTAAGGCGAGACTACCCCTCTGACGGGAGGGGGGCTCAAGACAAAGGACATGACGTTAAAAGCGTGATTGGGAAATGGCAGATGAAGCAACAGAGTCTGATGCTAATTACAATTTTTGCCTCTATATCAATGCTACAGGAAGTTTGACATTTTTACTGTATCAACAAGAGTGGAGAAGATCATACTCGGGAACAGGAAACATAATAAAGCAGTTATATTACGTGCACGGAAATTGCACCAACGCTTGCCATATAAAGTCATTATCCCCACACACTGGCTCACCCAAACTTCACAAGATAATTTAAGGGGAAACAGTTGTTATTTTTTTATGAATGCTGTTTTTTGTTCACACTTTCATATAGTTTTCAGGAGATTTGTGCATGTGTGAAAACTCCACTGCGTAGCGATAACTTTGTTAACTTTGCAGTTGAAAATGTGTAAGTTATAATTTGGTGTGTTTGGGAGATCACAGCAGGAGCGGAGGAGTTAGAGATTTAACACTAAACAGCTTTTTAGTATGCCCCTTTACCAACTGTGTAACTGGAACATAAATTCCCTTTCCCTGATAAGTAATGAGTTTCACCCAAGGCATCTGGTCAATGTTCAACACTCCATATTTTGTCAAACTTTTCTCCCTTTTGAATCTTTCATACATCCAAGATTTCCTCTGTTCTTTGAAAAAGAGCTGTGGTTCATCTTCAGCCTTTTTCCCCTTCAACAAACTCTTTCTTTTTAATACAGAAAACAGGCTTCTCTTTCCAAAACCCCGCAGGGATGGGCCTAATGGGTTTCATCTCTTTGACTTCTGACATAAGTTAGAGTGAGATTCTGATTCTGGCCGATGCTAATTAGAGGAAGATTCCCCCACCAGAGTGCCCAGACGCTACAGATACTGAGAACACTGAAGAGCTGAAGGATGGTGAGGTATCATTCCCTGAGGGGGGCTGGACAGTAGGTCAGAGAGAGAGAAGAAGAGAGAGTAAGGATATGAATGATAGTACAGAAAGCCTCTTATTCAGTCTGATGTCTGGGAAAGAAACACACACACACACACACACACACATACACGGACCAGAGATGCCTTAGGCATGAATACAGCAGTGTCTTCTTTGATCGGGCTCCCTCCACTTATCTGTCACATTTTAAGACAACATTAAAAGTGTGAAGATTAAAAATAAGACACAGGGTTGTTAAAAGTCAGACATTCTAGATTTGTGAAAGCTCATTATCCATCTGAAAAGGGCTTTAAAAATGACTGTCTTATAAAAAAAGCAAAAGAGTGATTCATGCCACTGTTAGAGTCAAAAGAGGTGATTCTAGGACTCGGACATAAAGAGGTGATATGAGTAAGTGTGTGGGCATTTCTTCCCCTTCCATTTATATATATAAAAAACACTCTGACTGCAACCACTGAACTCTAGTCCAGCAAACAGGAATCAGGAGAAAACATTTGGTAAGAGTAGATGTTCAAAGTTTTATCTAAACCAAGGATCTTTTCATGCACAGTGTCCTGCTGTAGAGAACACATGTAAGTGTATAATTGTGACAAAAAAAGAAAGCTATGCTTGCACACTGACTCAATGCCACAAAAAGATTATTAAATCACAATGAGATGTTTTTATTTTTCTACAATCACCTGAATAACCTTGAGATTAAATTAATTTATTGTGGCAATCAGTGTGGGCATATCTTCTTTTTCTGGCTGCTGTTTTTGAATTGCCATGCACCTGTGTGATGTGCATATAACCACCCTTCTTTCAAGTGTATAATCTATAATGCATTTATCTTCTCTCTGAGCTGTTTACCTGAGTTAATGTCCAGGTGAGCTTCATGTGTTTGGTCGCTGCGTAGCTGCACTCTAGCAGCCTGGGTCTGCTGTTCACGTCCACCAGACACTTGTTGTCATCATCGTCGATCGTTGGACTCAGCACGCCCAGGTGAAGCTGCTGAGAGCTGGTGTAGTACACATTCTGTTGGGATACAAACAACAGGACTAATGAGACAGGATTCCTAAACCTTTTTTTTAAGAATACCTTCAAGAGCCTCCATTCATCATTAGTAACTGAAAGTATAAACTTATTTCTCCTGAGCTGAAATCAAAATACAAGTGCCAAGGTTCTTTTCATCTTTCATCAGCGCAGCTGTGGCTCAGTTGGTAGAGTCGTAGCCTCTCAACTGGAAGGTTGAGGGTTCAATCCTCAGTTGAGCAACATGTCCGATGTGTCCTTGGGCAAGACACTTAAGCCTGAATTGCTCCCGCTGCTTCAGTGGTGGTGTATGAATGGTATTAGTTACTTCTGATGATACTATATAGAAATCACTACCATCAGTGTGTGAATGGGTGGGTGTGACATGTGGTGTAAAAGCGCTTTGAGTAGTTGGGAGACTAGAAAAGCACTATATAAGCTCAAGTCCATTTACCATGTCCATCTTCTAGTTAGTGTGCATTGTACAGCTCTCAAACTCAAGGTGTGCTTTAAATCTTTAGCAGAGTGTAGAGAAAGAAATATGTTTTTAAAAATAACATGTGACTGCTCTTAAGAAAGTATATCATTTGATTTGTTACTGAAACTAAGATAACTCATACTTGTGTTTCAAAGAAACTTATAAACCATGATAACTCATGAAGATCATGTAATCCTTTTTTACTAAGCTAAGTCCTCTGGAGCCCCGAAAGTCCCAAAAAGTGAACATTTTTATTTTATGTGCACAAGTTATTATCTTAAATCTTTAATGATACAATTAATTTTAGCTAAAGAGCATTTGTGTTTCCCTCAACTAAAAAGAGTGCATAGAAATAAAACCTAACCTTGCCATGGCTCGTTTGTACATCTGCATTACAGATATAAATAATGTAGTATGCAATGTAGTTCATTTATGAGTATAAAGCTGCTGGAACCAAATTTTCTAATGAATGTGAAATCGTCTTTGTTGCCACAAGAGAAGGTAAGAAGGTTAATCAGAGTTTGTGAAAGAGACAACAGTGAGTATGATCTTTAGGAGGTAAACTGGGTTCACTGCATTAAGGAATGTGTATGAAATGTTGTCATAAAAGAAGACTGAATGTTAAAGTTAGAAAAGAAGGACAATATTACTTATTAAACATTTACACAAAGAGATTATCTCTCTCTTTTACAGGATGTTATTCTCCTGTTTTTTGTTGTTGTGTTTTTTTTTACTATCAGGCAAGATTCTTCCAAATAAAGTGACTAGAGGTAATTAGTAGTGAACAGCGGCTCGTCCAGAGAGGTGGACAGGAGTGGCATGAGCCCGCTTTGAAATCTGTTTTATCCCCCCTAAATCCTGAACAGTGATTTGTCTCGTCATAGGCAGGACCATAGACTGTAAATATTAATGGAAGAAGCCTGAGTGACGTCAGCCATCTGTTCCTGCAGGGGGCGCTGGAGGCTCATCAGCAGCAGCCGCCATGTTGGAAATGCTGTCTCAGCCTTTCAGTTAACCTAACAACAGGATATGAGCTGGAGCTGAGACGGGTTTGACATCCCGTTACATCACATCCAACTGTCAATCATGTCAGCTATATGTGCCTTAATATGGATAACATGTGTGGTTCTTAACAACAAAACGAATGCATTAAAAAAAACATTGTGTGCCCATCAGGACGATAACTAATCAGACCTATTTTGTTTTTTTGTTTCCCAGGCAGTAAAAATGTTTATTTATGCTATAAAAACGGCTTTTTGGCTGTAGTGTGTATGTGACTTCAAGGGCTCCTGCTGGAACGGACAGTCGATGAACTGCAGGATTTTGCACTTATGCACTGGCTTCATTTTTTAAATCAACTATTTGGACTGTCTGGCCAAGCAACTGCTGTTAGCTTTCTTTGCATTTCAACGCAGCACATTTCACTCTGTTGATTCTTATGGTGACTTTGGTCGTACGTCTTCTTTTGACTCTTTGAAGACCTTTGAAGATTTATAAGTTGTTACTTGCGTCTCTTATGTTAATTTTTTTAAGTTAAAAAATACACTGGAATATGACATAGTTTAGAATAGTTTTAATTTAGCTTCTACAAGTAGGTACAATTAAATATAATTAGAGAATATAAGGGTAAATCAGAGCTAATTTCTTTGTCTTTGTGCACACACTTCATGCCTCCCTGCATACACCTTTACCTCAGTTGGGCCATCTCAGTCAAAAACAAGAAAGGGCCGGTCTAAAGATGCTGAACCCCTGTTTATACTGAAATGAACAATGATGGGTTTTACTGTTTATTAAAGCTACTTTAAAAGGGAGAGGGAAACATATTCAAAGGTCTTTCAAATATTGAAGTTGTTTAATGTAACAGTTCAAGAACAGACCTTTGTTAAACTCAATTACTGCTGGCAAGATTGTAAGCCCGATCAAAGCATATTTTGGCACAAACATTTTTTGTTCATTCTCTAAAGAATTCTCCTCTCTCTTTGACAGCGAACAACACTAAAACTGAGACAGCAGGTACCTCTGCAATTTATAATAATTCACCTTTGTAAATGCCAAGCTGTACTCTGTTTGCACAGCAAGTATATGGTCATTAGCAGCAGGGAGAAGGGTACGGTAAGTAGGGTAATTTCTGAATGCTAAGTGTATTTTTACCCACCTGAAGAATATGCCAGGAAATAAACAGACCACATGTGTAACTGGCATAATTAAGAGGATAAACAGAGAAGAGGAAAAAAGGAGGAGTAGATTCTCAGTGGCAAAAGATGAAGGAGTGAGACGAGAGGTCAGGGATGGGAACGTAAATCCTGGCTAAATATAAGAGAAAGCAATTTAGCAGACCTTAAAAAAAACCCAACAGAAACTAAACACAAGGAAATGGTAATGAATGCAAATGTTGGCCCAGTTTTGAAGCTTGAAAATTGTTTAGCGAGGTAAATCAAACGCACCTTAAGTAGTTTAAAAATGCAACCCATTAAATCAGAATAGCATTTCCCTGACGGAGAGAAGCAGAAGATGAGACAAAGAATTCTCAGACACCAAAGCAAACGACAAGAATGAAGGCTGACATGAAACCTTCACAAGCAGGAAAAGTAAAGAAGAAGAAGGTGTAAGGAACATTAAGCACAGAAAGAGAGCTGCACAGAACAAACAGAAACCTGGGCTGTGTGCTCAGGCTTTGTGAGTGGGCATGTTTGGAGAGGACTGTGTGAAGCTGTGAGGGGGTAATTGATGAGAATGATGACCGTATTGCAGGAAGAAAAGGACTTCTCTTGATCTGAGCCATTAACACACTGTGAACCAGCCACACAGCCTTTAAGCTGGAGTTTAGACACACAACACTACAGATTGATGTGTGCATGGGCGTGCATATATGTGAAGTATGCACGCATGCTTCCAAATGAGGATTGGTTTCCCCGTGTTTGTGCATATGGGCTAATAAGAGCGATTAAACTGGCATCTGTCAACAGATTGATTCTCAGCGCCCAACAGAGGGCTTAATGCTATCTCCTCTCTTGTCACAGCGTCTTAAAATCTCTAATAGAAGGATTAGCACAGTGCTGTGTTAGACAGATAGCTATCTCTCCTGACAGATGTACACATTTACAAGCATGGACAGAAGAAAGCCCATAAGCTTTAAGGATTTGAAACCATTTATGTCTGCCTTACAAATATGACATTTACATCTGAGTTGAATCTTTGAGAAGTCAAAGAAAGAAAAACAAACCAGCTGTTTAGTGATCAAATCTGATCAAGTTCCTTTTTTCTTTTTTATATAAAGTTGTTTACTGTCATCTTAAAGACAACATAAAGAGGCCTTTCCAGAGGGGTGGCCAGGGGTGGCATGGGCCCCCCTGAGGGTCCATAAGACCAGTGCGTAGGAAGGAATGAGTGTGCAAATAATGTGCATGCAAACTCATGCAATAAATTAACTAGCAATGCTTCAGTCCCAGCATAAATACAATTATTTTGTATGTGTGCGCACACAAACTTCATGCCATCTCTGCAAAAGTCAGTGCCCAAGGTTTGGCCACCCCCATTAAAAGAGTCCGGAGATGCTCCTGTGTTTACCTTATGCTGCATGTCTGGAGTGGTCAATGAACAGAGGAACACAGTTGAACCACCAGCAGCAGCTTTTATTAAGACAATCATTTTCCAAGGTCGCCAGAGGCATTTATTACAGTCTATGAATTAAAAATCCAACATTTTTATCATTCACAAAGCCTTTAAAGATGAATCTACGCTCAGCAAGCATGAAAGTGTTTCAGAAATTGGTATAAAATTTCTCCCATTAGATTTTGAAATTTAATTTTGGTCAAGAGAAATAGTGGATGAAAAAATGGCGTCATTTGGAGTGTAAAGATGACAGTAGAAAAGAGAAATCCCTCCCATGAAAAACAAGGGTGTTACTTTTTCAATGATTGAAAATTATACAAATCAATGAAGTCATCAACAAGTACAGTTGGTCAAAGTGGCAAGTTAAAGATATTGTAAGACCATAATTTATTGTACGCTGAATGCCTTACCTGGCATGCAAACGGTCTGCAAAAAAAAGCAGCTACCTTTATAGGTACAAGGAGAACATCAAATTACCACAATTATAAATAAATGGATAAATGGCTCCTACATTGGTAAATAGATAATTGCATAGTCCTTGTGCCTATATTCTTTAAAAAGAACTCAGCTTATTAAAACATTTAACCTTAGGATAAACCACTGGTATCTTTTGTATGTAATTGAAAAAAAAAGAGAAAAATGTGAAGATGTGACACAGGGGTCATCTGTTAAAGGAGATCTATTATACTCACTTTTAACATTAATTATGTCATTCTGGAACACCTGTTGAGTGTTTTTTTTTACCGTGTAGCTCAATCTCCTTATTTATCTCATACTGGCGTCAGTAAAATCCCTTTTTTCAGCCTCTGCCTGAAACCATTGATTTCAGCTGCTGTCTCTTTAAGGCTTCCCTCCCCATGTGCCCACTTTCCTACGATTGGCTAGCTCTGTTAGAGGTCGCAGGATAATGTGA